TTTTCAAAAGGCAGACCCTACTTTCATAACGGGGTGCATTTTTAATAAAATAAAAATATTTTCATAGGGGAATGATAAGCTTACATTGTCATAACAAATTAAATAAATTTTATTGAGACAATAAAGTTTATTTTTATTAAAGCACCCTTTATTACGCAACAACAAGTTATTTTAACTGCAACTGATATCCTAAAAATGTAAATAAAAATATGTGACATCATCAAATATATTTAAATTCCGAAATATAATCTATTGATGGGTAAACAAAATAAATTACAGTTTGTTTCAAATTTCCATTACTCTCAAACGAGAGGATATCATAGTACCATTTATTGATAGGCTGTTTTAATAAATTTAAATGAATTTTATGTCATTCAATTTAATTTTTTATTCAGCTGAATAAAGTGTGTATTTAAATGCAAAATTGAAAAGGTTTACCAAAATAAAGCAAATTTCATTGAATATTAATGAATCCTTGTATAATAAAAAACTGTAATGAATTACAAGTGTGATTTATGACCATAAAAGAGAAATTTAATTTGCATCATCTTTCAGAGTATATTACCCATAAAATAAATGGGTAATGTTTTGGGGAGAATGGGGTAGCGAGGTCCTGGACCTATTTCAACGTTTCTTAATGTTTTTCTTTTAATTTCCTTTACTCGCTATCCTTATTGATTCATTTAAATTTCTTTCACGTGATTTTCTTTATAAATTCGTTTCATGGATGTATCTGTAAAGCTGCAACTCCACCTTTTTAATGTATACAACTGATAACTGCGATTTAAATATGTTACAATAAAAAATTTTTCAATGGAGAATGATAAGCTTTCATTCTCATATCAAATTAAATGTATTTTAAATAATAAGGCGACGAAGTCTGTTTTTATTAATCTTACATTAATTAACAATAAAATCTAATCACTTTATGTATTTGCAAATATATAATTGAAAAAGAATGATATTCTTTTAGCATATTAAAAACTGTGTGTTATAATAAACGATGAATAGATGACAATGTTGTTTCATAATGTTTTTGTAAAGGAATTGAACCGCTTGAAATTTGGGGCAAAAATAATCATTTTTTGTGTAATTTCAATATTAAATAGAACCTTCAGTAGGAGAGCTCACATGCTTAAGCAAACGTAATGATCCTATGCCATTGCTATTCCGTTTAGCACCCATTGCATTGACATCTTTCGTTAACATGGTTACAATTAAAAGTAAATTGTTTTATAAAGTTAGTTAAAATTAGTAAACAAACCTATTTAACCATTAACATATATAATTTGTTCTTACATTGCTAGGTTTTATCAGTTTTATCTATTACTTGTTCAGGCCATCCTACTACAGCTTCTAAAAAGGGCGGTGAATAGCTAGATGGCTCGGAATCACACAGCAACACAGAGTCGAAAATACTTTTCTGACAGGCAATACTGCACATAACAACAGGAATTAAAAAACATCATGTAAGTGAATGTCCAGTGATCTTATTAATTAATATACGTAAACAAATGTAGCTTGGTCTACAACGGCAAAGCTGAATCGCCAAATAAATGCTCATTCCTCATATCTTAGATTAACTGACATTCAGACATTCACGAAGAACGTATGCGACTTGTTCGTTGTACTACGTGCATATCCAGTATATCCTTCATTGTGCATATCCAGTAGTTCTGCGTTCGTATAATAAGCCATTCTTTATCTTTGCAATAGTGTATGGAATGAAGAGTATCTACTTGACACACCTGAAAGGCCCTCTACCGCCTCTGGAAAGCATTTCCCTCCCAGGATTGCATTGCTATATGATTTCGAGTCTTCTAGGTGCATCCCATTCTTTCTAGACGTTTATAAACCTGGTGCTGAGACATTTATAAAAACTGCTAATAAATTAATTGACTTGATAAACAATTTTCATTCTATTTGAGATTCATCATTTATGTATAGTCTATTTAGATCCGCAATCCAGATAATTAAATGTACCCCTCATTATTCAATTTGAATTTTGTATGCTCAAATATTAAAAATTTTTCTCACAACTATAATTGAGATAGTGATTTTTAAATATTTATTATTTTTAATTTACTTTATATTATTTTATAGATAAGATTAATAACTCTTTAACATTTATCTTCTACAACACTTACTGTCAAAAACTGAAATGTAAATATCATTTAACAAATCAAATATTTATTTTTCTTAAATATTTTTTAAATAAATGTTCTCCACTTTTATGTTGAGACATTTATGCTATATTATTGAAATATTTCAAAGAGAATTTCTAAAATAGACCATATACTACTTTTTTTATGTTTTAATCCTTTCATTTACTTTATAATGCAAATAGACTGACCGTATAACATTTTTAACATTTTAAGTCAAATAATATAAAAGATTCAATGTGTATTCATGCATTAACGTGTCAGATTTATCTCAATATAAAATACACCAGTGAAAAGAACGCTGTTATAAAATAACATATTTTATACAATTCTAAGAAAAAGACATCAGCACTCTCTGCATTTAATGGAAGTCAAGAGACGAATACGTTGGGCGCCTTCTCCAATAAAATGTGTTTGTCCTATTTGGGTCTAGACAGAGAGTTTGGATAAATAGTAAAAGAAGGAATACATCAAAGACAGTGAAATCTTCTTTCGTGAAAATGTAAAATGTGTCAGACTTGTAAAAAAATTTTTTTTCGCCTCCACAGATCCAGTTTTCGATGAGTTTGGTCATAAGTTTAACTGTTTCAACTGAAACGCAAAAAAATATCAGCAATAAATAAAAAAATATATTCTGCTCTTAAAGTATGGTTTATTTTATTATTTTCTATAAAACGCAAAAGACAAAATTGAAATAAGCCCGGAAAACATTGAAATAATTTAAATTTAAAAATAATATGTATATTTTAATACAAACATGCCTGGAAAATTTGATAAGGAAATTGTGCAATTTTATATGAGATATATGGCAACGCAAATCTATTCATAGAAACTGAAGGAATATATAAGCTATAAAATATTTTATATTAAATGTCTAAAAATAAATTATTTATTATTGAAATGTTAACTTTTTCCAAACTTCAAACACTTTTATGTTTCTATGTTTCTAATCCTGAACTTATTTCTACATATAATCATCTCTTCAATGCTTCAAAATAGTTTTTTATTACAACGCAATTTAAAGAGAAACGCCTATAAGAACGATTTCTTCTTACTTCTGTCATTTTTCTTCGATTCTAAAATATGCATTATCTAGCTTTCGGATTTGCCATGGATTTGTAGTGGTTCCGACACCATTATAATCCGCTGTTTGCCCTAATATGGAAGCTTTATATAAGCCTAATGGATGGCCTTATTGAAGCCTAATATAAAGCTTTGGGCAAAGGGATAACAACTCTACCCTGTAAAAAGTATCCATCTTCTGCCTCAAAATTTGCCAGCAGGTAGACAACCTTGGCCCACCATTGGGTGCACTGTCAGTTTGTTAGTTAGCTTAGGGAATTAGCTCGTTGCCAATATAAACTTGAGAACATTTGGTTCGGCTCACTTATTAACCTTCAGAAAGATTAGCAGTCCTTCTGGCTAATTTCAGGCTGCTTCATATTCTTTAAATGCACTACTAATTTTAAATCACTGCAATCTCAATTTTAATTGCTGTCAAATCTTATTTCAAATAAATAAATATTGAGCTTAATTTTAGTATTAATTTTTAAAAAAAAATCGCTTTGTAAAGAAAAATGAACAGTTAACAAATATTCAAACAATTTTTTAGTGCTTTTAAAATTTTGTTTTTCATAGTTCAAATTTAATGTAATAAGTATGTTTATTTTCGGCAAATCTACATCCACTCACTCTACCTAACAAGCATCTTCTTCCATACCGAAAAGAAATTAATTAAAATTAACACATGAAATATAAGTTATAATCAAAGCATGCATAATATAATATATAAAATATAATAATATTAAAACAGTACATCTGTATGTAAGATGCTCCCTGTTTTACAAACTTTCCAAAGAAAACGAGGAAGATAACAGCTAAGGTACTAATTGATGAGCTAATACCGCTAATTGCTATATTCAGTGCACAATGGTTGATTTTTTTTTTCACCGACTACATATTTTTATTTACTAAATATTTTTTTCTCAATGCCACTTAACATCTTAATTTGTTACCATGAGTATACTCGTATTTCAAATTTGTATGTATTCGGAACACCACCAGATAGCACGCGTGAAAATAACTAGACTAGATAAAAAATATATATATCGAAAGAATTTGTGAACACTTTCTCTAAAGCATATATGTTATTTTTTCCAATTTATAGATTAAAATCTAGTTGAGATGTCAATTAATTTATAAGCATAATCGTTTATAAAAATAAATTATTTCTACAATTTGATTTTATAAGAAGAAACAATTTAAACAAACAAATTTTAGCTGAAACAAAGAGGTATCTATCCAAGTTACTTTAATTGTATCCAATTTAAATAGAGATTTATTATTTTTTTTAATTTCATTTTCATTACTTTTGTTTCCCAACAAAAATATATTAGTTTCCTGTAATGAAAATAAGAAACAAAATGAAATCAGTAAAGGACTGTACATATAGTTATATATTGCCTATTAAAGTATAATTTAAACACTTTTTAATGAATAACACTTCTTAACAATTGTTCGAATAAAAATATATAACTTAATTGTTTTGTTGTTGTTGTTTCTTATACCACTTGGCTGGTCAAGCCCAAGAGCCCCTACGTACTCATGATTGAAGGGGAAGGAAGCCGCTTCTGTTGTGATGGAGCACCCGTAGGTAGAAGTCTGACTTTGGCTCCGCGACGCTCTTACGGTGATAGGAGACCGGGACCTACGGTTTAAAGTGGATTCCGAACCACTACAAACATTCATGGTACCGCCAATATTCGAACCCGAAACCTGTGGCACCGAGTGCCAGAGCGCTAGACAATCGGCCATTCAGGTCCCAAATTTGTGAATGCCAACGGCACGCGGTGTTACCAGGTAGGTGGTCACCCACCCAAGTACCGGCCGCGCCCAATGATGCTTGACTTCGGTGATCTAACGAGAACCGATACATTCAGCATGGTATGGCTGTTGGCTATCACTTAATTGTATTACATTGTATTAATTCATTTTTTTTTCCGAGATCCTAAAATAAATGAGCCAATTTCCGTCTCTTTGTTCCTCTGAATTCTTTACAGGGATAACCTATTTTTTCCCGAAGCGTTTATTTCTTTTCTTCTTTAAAAAAATTTATCTTAAAATATCGCTCATCAAATAATAATAACAATAATGTTCGCTCAAATTGTCAAGCAACAAAACAATTATTTACGCTTACGGAATCCTACAATTATCAGATCATAAATCAAAATATCAATTTGCATTTCCACAATGAATCAGAAAGAATTCTTTTCTGTCAACATTTTCCCATTATGGAATTTTTTTTGAAGGAGCCACAAACATTTTTGTTTAGCTTTTTTCCCCCCTTCAGATAGTGATCTCTTTTCCAAGATTTTCAATAAAAGTGCAGCTCAGTTGAAAAAAAAGTTTTCTTTTTTCTCCCCTGCTTTTGCATTTTATGATAAAAAAGATTGGCGAGTTTTAACTTTAGGCAACATTTCTTACTTTTTTTCCCTCCCCTATTTATTTCTGACTCCCCCTGCCCCACAGCACACTTTATGCTTCTTCCGTATAAGTAGATTCCAGCGATTCGATAAAAAGTGTGAAAATATTTTGCGGATTATATATCTATAAAACGGTGCCTCAAAAGATTTTTAAAATACCTTGCGGCAGCGGTTGGAATAATATTGCTGAACTTTGATATCTTGAAGATTTTCTTACTTTTTTTCTAACCGTCTGATAAGTCAGATTTTTTTTTCTTATCTTTGAAAAGGGCTTTTTATAAAATACAAAAAGTCCAGCGATGTGAGAATCCTCCACGCAGATGGGTATCAATATAATGTTTACGTTTTTGTTAATATATCATCTTTATTTGTCATCTTCAATTAGATACGATTAAATGTTTGTGGTTATTTGAAAATGGTATTTCAGGGCGATATGAAAAACTTACTTACATAATGATCGATGTGAGAATCTTATTTACATAATAATCGATGTGAGAATCTTATTTACATAATAATCGATGTGAGAATCTTATTTGAATAATAATCGATGTGAGAATCTTATTTGAATAATAATCGATGTGAGAATCTTATTTACATAATAATCGATGTGAGAATCTTATTTGCATAATAATCGATGTGAGAATCTTATTTGCATAATAATCTATGTGAGAATCTTATTTACATAATAATCGATGTGAGAATCTTATTTACATAATAATCGATGTGAGAATCTTATTTACATAATAATCGATGTGAGAATCTTATTTGCATAATAATCGATGTGAGAATCTTATTTGCATAATAATCGATCTGAGAATCTTATTTACATAATAATCGATGTGAGAATCTTATTTACATAATAATCGATGTGAGAATCTTATTTACATAATAATCGATGTGAGAATCTTATTTACATATTAATCGATGTGAGAATCTTATTTACATAATAATCGATGTGAGAATCTTATTTTCATCTTTTATTTTTTTATGCAACTTTGTTTAGATATATTGTTTATTTATCTTCAATTAGATTCGATTAAAAATTGAGGTTAACTGAAAAGAGGTTTCCTGTTACAACCACAATTAAAAAGTAAAAGTTCGTCTGTAAACTGTAAACTTTACTAACTTTGCGTTCTTAATAATCTGTATAGCAACTTTTAAATTAAAAATTCAATTCTTTCAATACTTTTAGAAATTTACTTAGGTATCTACTCTCGAACGAGACTGACGGGCACTTATTGTACAACTTTCGAAAAATGATTGCCTCTTGATTGTCTGCAAAGCAACGGATCCTTTCAACTCTTGTCTTAAATAAGTTAGAACTTGCTTCGTGAAACAAAATTACAATCACAAAGAGCTATATTTAATGAGAGCCTTGTTATTTGTAATATGTTAATTAACTGATTGCAATAGAGGTCTATTAAAAGAAACTTTTATTCCGTAATAGTTAAATTATAAATTAAATTATATTTTTAAATTTCATTTTTATACGGAATTTTACATAAAAATTTATTACGTATATATCCTTAAGCTAATAATGCACAGTATAATAATTTCGGTAAAATCCTTTTATAAAGACGGTTTTCTATTTGTTTTAAATTCTTTACTTGAATAAACTTTTCTCTTGTCAAAACTTTTATAAAGTTTTATTTGACCTGTGAAAATAGAAAAGCGATGGATTCTTACTTATACAGAAATGCTCAAAGCGATTCTACTTTATTATCTTCAGTTTTTATTGAATGTATTTATCTATTTCTTTAAATGTTTATGCTTGGAAGAAATTCAGTTGAAATATAGTGACTTCGAAATTTGAGAATATTCTTTGTTTTTCATTCTATTTATCTCTAAACCTGTAAATGTTGAAACATTCTTCATACTGGCGCGAAATAAGTTTGGGTGTCAGTGAATTAAATAAAAACATTTGTTAAAAGTTTATACAATATTTTAAAAATTGGAAAAAAAGATTTTTCTATATTTATTGTCAAGAACAAACTGAGAACAGGAGTTTTAAAAATACGAACTTTTTATCGTAAAATTCTTAATTTGTATGAGATGTTCTATATAAAATATAAGATAATTATTTTGGAAAGAGATTGCTTATAATTTTGACGATTAAAATAATTTTTATAAGGACTGTTTGAAGAAAACTAGAATTTATATCCAAAATTTTTTTTTTTGCGTTTATCAAATCAAGGTATATTTTTAAATGAACTTGATTCAATTATAATATTAAGACATACTTATGGGCAGAATTGAATAAAAATTTAAACTACCGCTATAGTTTATACAAAATAATTTATGAAAAACACTGATTATGCAAATGAAAATATCGTAGAAGAAGAGAGATCCTAAGCACAGCAATAAAGCAAAAGATTATTTAATATATCTAGTTAAAACAAAAATGACAAGAATTTAAGATATTCAATATTTTCAAATTCCCACTGAAAGTTGATAAAGTAGAATGTTTCGAAGAAAATCAGTTAGCAGAATACAAAATTAAAAAAAAGCTGTGTTTCAGAATCCTCTTTAAACAGTAGATCCCGGTCTAATATGACTGTTGGACTAAAAACCTTACATCGTAAAGAGGAGCAAGGAGCATCTCCAGTCTCAAAATCTGTCAGTAGATAGATGCTCTTGACCCACCATGCGGCTATTGCGCCAAATTATAAGAAGATCATCTTATAATTTGAACAAAATAGGATACAGATCTTATTCCAAAATATTTGTTTAGGAAAACAGAGTCAAAAATTATTGCGGATCGCTAGACAATGATGTTAACTATCTGCAAAAAATGTCGAATTCTTGTTATTTTATCATTGTAAAAAACAATGTACACTTCGTCAATTCCCCTTGCTAACATAAAACATGGTAGGGTAAAATCGGGTTGCCTATGTCTTTGTGCCGCAAGGTCAAAGAGCAAAAGAAGCGGCATTTTTTACCCTTTATCATGAATCGTCGGTCGAAGTTCACACGAGTTGATAGACTTGGTCAGGACAATGATGTCGACCAAGTCGGATACATTTAAAAAAAAAAAAACTTTTTTAAAAATGCATTCATTAATAGGCATAATGTTCTGCTTTTAAAATAACAGTGGAGTATCTTAATTAAAGCCTTTAATATTATATTAACCTTCGCTTTTTCTTATCATCTATTATATGTTTCCCATATACTGGATTTAAAAGAACACCGAAATGTAGAAAAAAAAAACGCCTTTCCTTCTTAATTCTGAAGAGGACTTTTATAAAGCTGGAAGAAATCTTCTGATCATCATTCACCGGAAGCAATTGCTCTTAACAAAATGTCTTGCCAGGAATAAAGAAAAAATAAAGATAGTAAAGTAATTAGAAGAAAGAACAGGCATTGTTTGCCTACTAAGTGCACAGTTTGAGTAGAAAATCAAATTTATTATTGTGTAAGAAATCCATTAAGTTTTCTGACTCTAAGCACAATGCGTTAATTAATGAGTTGAGATGCGTTTTCTTTCGCTTCGCATAGAAACGGGTCCATTAAAAACTCTCATTGGGTTGTTGCATCATCTTTTATGCAGCGTGCAATTATTCAGTAATACGTTTTGAGTGTAATACACCGGTATCTGGTAATGCTTTTACATTGATAAAAGAAGAATTCCTTTCATTTTTTGTTTTAAGGGAAATGTTTGGCATTGAAAGAAAACAAACTGGGAAGTTCATTGTGCCTGGGTAAATAGTGTAGAATTTAATAAAGAAGCAATGAAATTTATTTTATAAGTATTAACTTTTTGTGTTCGTGAAATAAAATAGAATATTTGAAATTATTTATTCTTTTCAATGGAGAAAGCTTAATAGCAAATAGTCTGATTAATCTGACAACTAATCTACGTCATTAAACGTGATGGTTTTTAAACTTCAGTGATTTCTTTCCTCTCATATAAGTTATGTTCTATAAATCAGGAATGGCTACAGAGATCTGTTATGTGCACGAAAAATTTATATCAACCTTCTTATTAACCAGTTACCATATCGAAGGAGAATGTTAGAATTCACTTCGTATATTTCAGTTATTGTTTTCGGATAAGAAAAGACTCTGTGGAAATTGTACTAGTGTGTCTAAGCATGTCACAATGATAGTTGAATCGCTTGGTAAGAATAAATCTTTTATTTATCTCATATAGTAAACAAATAAGAGGAAAGTTATAACCACCAACCCATCATAGGCTACTCATCCCTATTATATAACATAGTCTCCGATTTAAAAAAAATAACAAAAAAAATTATATATCAAATTAATATATTAATGATAACGTTTTACTAATTTGTATTTAATTTTTTGTAAAAAAACACGCACATTCGTAAAACTGCAATTTTTTTTGTTTAAGAGGTGATGATATTACATGATATATCATAAATAAGTTTGGCCAAAATTTCAAAATGTTTTGTATTAACAAGACGACTGTATAACCAAATTTTTATATCAACACAATTCTACCATCAAC